TAGATGCAAACTACCTAGTTGGGGTATGGGTGATTATTGTAACCGATGGTTGGAAACTGGGTGACAAAGTTCAAAATCGTTAGAAATAGAGCATGTGTATTTACTCTTTGTCATCTCTTAAATCTTGAATTCTTAATTCACCTAATAAAAATTTTTCTTTCATTTCACAGATCCATATTTTCTGTTTGAATTTTATTTTCTACGCCTGATCTCCACTATTACCACCAATACTTTTACTGCCTCTACTACTCTGGGATTGATTTTAACAAACCTATCTTTTATGTTAACGGGGTGTGGCAACTTGAAGCAATGAGTACATGTCTCATATTTTACGTCGCGTATGACTGAATAACTATGTGATCATTGCTACTATATTATTTCCATTTTTTGTAATTTATTTTGTCGTGTTGACGTGATATAACAACTTGGATCAACGGACATCTTTATTGGGCTCTACCTTCTTACGTATATACGCGCAGTTAGTAAATGAATTGTTTTAAAAAAACAGGTTTTGTAACATGCTCAGAAAAAACAAATGAAAAAAGAAAACAGTGAAAGTTAGGTAGCATTTCGTATAAATGTCTCTTTCATTCAACACCGAACGCATGAGAATACGCAAGTGTTAAATTATTAAATGATAGATCTTAATAATTAATATTTTCCAACTATAAATAAATGCTCATACTCAATAACAAAAATTTTCGACTTTCTGTGATAAATATTTTTTTAATTAATCTACAAAAACTTTTCTAACAAGCTATTTCTAGTTGGATAAACATTGAGTAAAATAATAATCTAACCGCTCGTTATTTCTCTTATCATCAACAATTCCTAGATCAGACCGATAATCATCACTTACAAATATAGATAGATATATATAGAATGGCCAACTGATTCAATAGAGAATATGACCATTCAAAGCAACTCCTATTGGTCAATAGTCAGTTTATATATATATATATATATATATAAATCAATTGAATAAAGATTTCGTTAAATGTAAACAAAAACACCGTACATACATATAATACTGAGTTCTCCAATCAATTGACAAATCCCCTTGTTTTGGATTTTATTAAATATTTTTAAAAATTTAAGGCAGTGTTACGGTCAAAAGGATGAATATGGCATTGATTTATTTAATGTTGAAAATAGTTCAGTATTAGATAGATAATCACATATGAACTGAACAAAAACTAACGGTCAATTTGGATTTGATTTATAAGAATTTGTTTCTTTTAATATCGGATTAAGACAGTGCTTATTGGACGAATCGATATTTAAATGGATAAAGTAAAATTGCCTAATTTCCAATCAATCAATTCTTAAAGTGATAACGGCGATCTATAACACAAACTGGACTGGAAATTACCCATACAAGAAGTGTTATACAGGTAGAACATTAAACTAATAATGGGAACTTTTGTAAAAATATAAAGTAAAGACTGGATGACCGATGGTGCAGCTCATACATTATTAAAACGATGAGTGATTGATTAGGTGGATGAACCTTCATCCACCAAACCACAAGTTTGAAAAATGCCCCACCAACCGAATGGTATCAATGGCCTTCACGTTTAGATTGTGCCTCTAAGTCAAGCACACGAATCTGTACCTGGAAAATAAATTATATCACTAAAAAGAATCGATGGCCAGTTCTAGTATCGAGTTGTCTGTTTCTGGTGATCATCAAAATGACAAACAGATCACATCCCTATCAGCCACCGATGGAGGGGCTCGATAGAAGACTGTCGCTCATTCTGGAGCACATGCCTAGATTCGGATCATGCTCTAGTGCGAGCGCGTATTTGCTTGCGTCTTACTGGACGTAGGAAAGATCCTGCAAGGAAACCTCTTAGGGCCCTACTTAATGATAGTCAAGCTAAGAATATATTTCAGGAACAACTAGGAAAACAGTTAGGCAGCCATGTATGTGATGCCCACCCCGATGCAGCATGGAATGATATCCGAAAAGCTGTGGAAACAGCAGTGATATCTGCTAGTAAGGTAAACCAGAAGGTTAGGGAGCAACACTGGATCTCAGCAGCATCTATCGCACTGATAGATGCTCAGAAACTTATTCCACCTGGCTCTGAACATAATGAAGAGCGGAGTCAGCTTAAGCGCAAGCTGACAAGAAGTCTACGCAATGATCGCGAACAGTGGTGGGTAGCGAAAGCAAGAGAGATGGAAAAGGCAGCGGCAATAGGTAATAGCAGACAATTGTTCAGGCTCCTTAAGGAAATCGGAATTAGGAACCCGACCGTTAGAGAAACAATCTCAGAGAAAGATGGACATATTATTCATTCTCAATCCAGGAGATTGGATCGATGGGCAGAACACTTTAGGGATCAGTTCAACTGGCCATCAACCACACTTAGGTTTCCCATGATCTCCAGTCAACATGAATGGCAGGTTAATGTAAGTCCTCCGTCCCTTTACGAAGTTGAAAAAGCTATAGGAAATCTGAAGCGAGGAAGAGCAGCAGGCCCTGACAGGTTTACTCCTGAGATTTTTTAAGGATGGTGGTGCAATATTAGCAGTGAGATTAACCGAGGTCTTAGGTAGAATTTGGGAACTGGACGTAATCCCATCTGACTGGTCTCAATCACTGATTGTGCCAGTCTATAAGAAAGGACGAAAGTCCTCTTGTGACAATCACAGAGGAATCAATTTGACTAATATAGTATCTAAAATATCAGCTTCAATAATACTTCGACGCCTAACTAAAGCTTGTGAAGAGCAGACTAGAGAAAACCAGGCTGGTTTTCGACCTGGACGTGGTTGCATGGATCAGATATTCACACTACGTCAGGTTCTAGGACACAGACACACATTCAGACACCCCACAATCGTAGTATTTCTCGACCTAAAAGCAGTATTCGACCCTGTCGATCGTAAGGTTCTATGGCAGTGTTTGTCACTGAAAGGAGTACCAAACAAGTACATTAACCTTATAAAGGCTCTCTACTCGAACACAACTGGTAGAGTGAGAGCTTACGGCGAACTGTCATCAGAATTGATCACCTCAAGTGGTGTTCGTCAGGGCTGTCCACTCTCCCCATTCTTGTTCAACTTTGTCATTGACGTACTTTTAGAGATAACACTCTCCTCATCTAAATTTCCAGGGGTTGAACTTCTACCGGGAGGTTCACTTGTTGACTTAGAATATGCTGATGACATAGTTTTATTTGGTGAAGACGCTGACAAAATGCAGAGTCTTCTGACCACTCTAAGCAACAATGCAAGCATGTTCGGGATGCGATTCTCTCCCTCGAAATGCAAAATGTTGCTTCAGGATTGGGTTACATCGACACCCGAACTAATGGTAGGGAGTGAAGTAGTTGTGTGGGTCGACCGCTTCACTTATCTGATAAGTCTCATCAGCCCTTGTGGTCTGGTGTGTGATGAAATCTCATCACGGATACAGAAGGCTCGACTAGCTTTTTCCAACTTGAATTATTTATGGCGTAGTCAAGATATCCGTCTATCAACCAAAAGGAATACAAATAAAGAGGCAACGAAAATACGTAGGTAATAAAATGTTGAATGTTTCCAAAAATACAGGATGGATACTCCGTCATATAATGACAGATTTCAAACTAAGTCAACTGAAAATCCTAATCGCTGGAATAAAAGGTTTTGTAAACAATAACTGAAGAGTTTATACTTATTCAATATGGCTTGAACAAACCAGATGCCAGCTGACGAAATTAGGGAAATATGCTGGAGGTAGACATGACACACATTGCGAAAACCATTAAACTCCATCCCAAGGCAAGGTATAACTTGGAATCCTCAAAGCAAAAGGAAGACGAACATGGCGTTGGGAACATGAGACAGATATCAAGGCCAGGAAAAGCACTTGGTAGCAAGTGGAAAAAAGAGCTACGGATAAAGTTGGTTGGAAATGTCTAGTAGGAAGCTTAGACCTCATGACGGGTAGCGGGCTTTATCAAGTAATATGGTTTAGAAAAGCCAGAAACTCCATACACTTGAACTGCTTTTGGCTCTTTTAGAGCAACCTCACAGAAAACAACACTATTTAATATGCTTTACTTATCTTACTAACTGATTTACGTTTATTGAGCAAAACTCTATGCCTAACTAAAAATCCCTCATTCTACAAATATTGTTAATACTATGGAAAACGACTGAATACTAGTAGTTTCATTACATTGTCGTGAACGATTAAGTTGCATACAAACAATACTTATGCAATAGTCGTAATCTGAATACCGAACTGATCTTAGCTAGATCACAACTGAAAACCAGGAAGCACTGGACTACTGTTTTGTCCCAGCATGGGAATCCTCGGGAGTCTCCACCAACGACCTTTGGTCTAGCGCGAACGCTTAACCTCTAGACCACTGAACTGGCATCCGATAGTTGTTTAAATAAGATCAGTTCATGAGTTGACCTATGAAAATGCTAAGCCCCGTCATCTTTGCCTGCACGAACCTCAATTAGTGGTCAAACGTTATGACACATCCCTTTTCATATCAATTTATATGGACAACTGTGGACATACATTCGACTGGAAAATGTTGAGATCCTAAATAGAGGGAACACTAAAAACACCAAGGAATTTCTAGAAGCTTGGCACTCAATTCAATCAGCAATCGACAAACACATTGAAATCGATCCGACCTATCAGCCAATCAGAAAAATCATGGGACATGCAATCAAAGTAAAGTAGACAATGACGGGTTAAAGGTCAATAATAACCAATCAAGATTGAGGTCGACAGGACAAACTGTGAGTCATATGTGGAGAAATTCGAACTACTTCTGCTTAAAGTTTGTGCCGACCATGTTGTTCGGAAGAACATTGAAAGCTCTACGACCAATTCATCCAGCTCCGAGAACAAAACTCCACTTGAAAATTCTAGTCTTGATAAAACCCTCTATACTAATCTAATTAATCAGGGAAATTCACTCATTTATTTACTAACAGGAATGATCTATAAAATTACTGCGAACAAAAGTGTTATACATTACCTCTAATAGAATTATCAAGTTTCGACATAACTGGCAGCACACCACTATCTTTGGCCTGTTCTTGAATAAATTTAGATGATATATCTGGATCTGAAAAGCATAAAGGAAAGTGTCAGCTGTCACATGTTTGAAAATATATTGAAAAATATTTTAAACGCAGTTATCCAATCCACACAACAAATTTACAGGAAACTTAATTCAGTAATTATGTCTGAATTCATTACACGAGCTGTAAATTATGCTATATTGTATTTAGGATATCGATACTACTTTGTATATATGAAACGAAACGCAACCAAAACCTGAGAAAGTTGAGTGTTGTTCAAGCTAACAAGTTATGGCTCAATACTAAGTTCATTGGAAGGCATACGATGTGAGTGTGTCATACTTCATGATGACGAATCAGTTAATTTTGTGAAACCACAATGGTTGATTTAAAAGGCATAAAAGATTAACACTACACAACATAGTTAGGATACTTCTTGATCTTTAAGAGTGTTGTTAATGTGGACCATAGTTTTATTAATATTTTCTTAATACCTGTTGCAAAGTGAACCACGATAAACCTTTACACTACTAATCAGCTAATAACTAATGGCGAATGTCAAGGTAAACAAAAATCCTAACACTTTTAATTCCATGTCATTTGTGAGTTTACAAATGTTAGATACCTGGAAATAAATAACAGAAAACTAAATCAAGACCTCATACATTTTAGCACTCCTTAACATAGAGTATTTGGTACTGTGAAGAAATTAGCATTTCATCAGAGTTTGAAACCAGTGTCAAAGAAGTTCATCATCGAATCATTATATCTGAATGTCTATCTACTTTGATCTAAGTCATACTTTATTTTTGAGAAGTTTTGACTAAAACGAAATACGTGGAGTGAAATTTGAGCATGTAATCTAACAGTTGAAAACCAACTCTTCTAATCACTAAAATAATGATCGCAAAACTGAATAATTGAAATATTGAGCTGCAGGTTAACTAAAAGTGACCAAAATAATTACAAATACAAATTCCTTCAGTATTGTAAAAAAAATAACCATTTCCGTAATTGGAGTTGCATAGACGCTCAACATATTATAATACATTATTGACTGAAGTCAAAAAGATGGACCGCTGAATTCCAGTTCAGTGAACAGATGGTATTATACTCACTAAGTGATTTGTGATGAATATTACTTATATATTTTGGAACCTTAAAAACTATATAACAATAGATGTTTGAAGCATATTTAACCGTTTTTCATTGGAAGCTGTTAGTTTGTAGTGCAGCCTCTTGGTTTTAAACCAATGATTCATGGATCGGAACGGCATCCACCAACCAAGCTTTATGTGGCTGAGTGGTACAATTAATAACTAAACAATGATGTTCAAAGATGTTGGAGGCAACTGGCATTGAAATAAATAATGCTGCACTGTATTTGTATTCTTCATAATGTCCAGTGCCTGATGAGCAAAAGACGAATATTTTAGCTGAGTAATCCAATGGATACTATAAAGTAGTTCGATGAAATAAGCTTTCATTTCAACAACGACACATAGACACACTAAACAAATTTTACGTACAACACAGTGTACTTCTTTGATCCATGATCCATGAATAGCAAATCAACTCAACTCAATTACTTAGGAATTATATATGCGTGAAACGGTTTAATGATAGCTTCTCATCACCTACTTAACTATTTGTTTTTAACGCACTATTAAAATAAGGTTATTAGGAACTGAAATTATTTACACCATACTTGATTTTTGTAAAAAAATCAATAATAAATCCATACATTTTTCACGATGAAATTTTGAATATAAATCAATTGAAACTGGACATTGTTGATTATTTTTTTCTAGTTGAATGGCAGTCAATTTTAATGATGATGAAAACAAAAACGAGAATAGAACATATACATATATAAAAAAGACTTTTTTGTAATAGTAAATAACCTTGACCGGTTAATGTTTGCGTGTTAACCTTTGACAAAATAAGACAAACATATATGACGCATGTTACGGTTACTTTATCATAATGATTACTATTTTATTATTATTATTATTATTATTATTATTATTATTATTATTATTATTATTACCATACTACTACCAACACAATATGAAATTTGTGAGAAGTTAACAGCACAATGAATGAAATAAAACAGACGATGACCTATAAAATGAGACGAGACTAGAGAAAAACTAGACATTATTATTACAACCATAATACAATTAAGGTCAAGAAAAAAAAAGAGAATTAAAGACAACTTACGAGTGGTTTGTTTAAAAATGTGTAGAATATATCCATAAAATGTTAAAACTTAATGATCTAAGCACGAATCGACCTTTTTCTATATTTTATGAAGTACACTACAATAAATTGATAACTAAATTGATTAGAAGGTTCCTTATCAAGGATTTTTTAAATTTAGTATTATTCGCTTGCAGTAAAACATTTCTTAAAATAAACTGAGTGTTGGTCGTTTCAGATTGTTGATTTATTTACTAAGTTGTTGATATGCTATTTCATTATTTGAATGAATGGATATCATTACTAAGTTAGTTATAAGCAACCAAGAGCCTAGAACTTATATCAATTGGTTCGAGTTGTTACATAATATCAAAACGAACCCAAGAGTAGTAGAATTAGTAACAGTATCAGTAGTAGTAAAAAATTAGACACCTAGATGCTATTATTCGAGAATAAAAAATGAATTCCAAGAATAAAGTGTATAATATAATTTTAAAAGTCAAATTCGAAAGGAAGACAAAGAGTGAGTGCACCTGCGCCATTGTGAACGATTTTGAAGCATGTCACCTAAAGTCTCTGATCATTGGTTTCAGTAATCACGCATCTATCAACATGCCTCAGATCAAAGGTCAACGATTTCATAAATTGACTATATGTTTTGGTTAGGCCGCTCATAACTTTGTACCAGTCTAACCCAACCCTACACCAACAAATATCGTGAGTTCAGGCAGACGGAGAGTGGGTAAATGTAATACATGTCTCAATCACCACAGTCGATGAAGAGTCACAATCACAATAATTAATTCGACATTTTTTACTAGTCCCCTGCATCCAACTTCAGAATAGCTAACGTAATGGTCCTAACATACGTGAGTAATGTTTAGAAGGTATTTATGATCAGATACTAACACCCTACGAATATCCCTTATTTTCAAAGGTTTAATTCACGAAAACAATAACCAGTTGAGGAAAAGACATTAATCAATATTCACTTAAATTATATTAATTCATAAGTAAACAAGCAAAACAACATATTCGTACAGAGAAAGTAATTTTTGATGACTAAAAATATCCAAACTTATTACCGAAAAATTATCTATAAGTTTTAAGTTCTGACTGATGCATGGACATGAAACCAAGTTACCGTAATTGTTTGTTGAGAACTGAATTTTCCAAGATAACACAGTCAAGTATTAATATCTCTTGAAAACAAAAAGAAAAGCCGTACTCCGCTGAGAATACAACTTTTTGATAGCTACTCATACCTAGTGAGAGAATGAATATTGTTTTAATGGTACCAGTGAACTACTAGACAAGTTAATGTAATATATTGCAGAAATCTAACGTAATAATTTCATTTATAAAGCCAAACTCTCATTTTAGGATGAGCAGGGAACAGAGAACTAATGATAGACATGTTATGGTAGCCTGTGAATAACAGGAAATACAATATCAATTAAAACAGTAATCGAATTCGAAATAAAACAGAAGTTTTCATAAGAAACAACAATACTACAAAAATCATATAACTGAGATAAATGCAATATGAAGTTATACTAAGAATATACACTAACTGAAAAGGTTATAAAACATATATATATATATATATATATATATATATATATATATATATATATATATATATATATATATTACCAGATTTCAATTCAATTGTAGAATTTTTTCGATAGCAATCATGTGAATTAGGATTTATTGGACCATAAATTCCATTCATATCATCAATAGTATTCATAATGTTATTATTACCATTACTATTATTATTAATGTTATCATTATTATTATTGGAAGATGATGATACTCCATAAAGTGACAAAGATATATTATCTTGACTATTGGATGATTGTACAGTGCTTGAAACAAAGCAATCAAGTGGTGTACAATCTGACAAAAGTTCAGAAAGTAATGCACCCGGTTGTGTATCCACATTGTTCAAGAACGAGTCATATGATCGATCGACAGCGGACGATACAGAAAGACTACCCAAAGATGAATCCACAGATGTTTGATTAAACTTCATTGTGTGGAAGAAAATCTTGATAAATAATTTTATATCCACAATTCATCGACCCTGAAAGTTTTTAAACAGATAAGAGATAATTAAGATAAGAAAATAGGATAAATAATGTAGCAAGTTTAAATACATATAATATAACTGCGCCTGTAGCTCTTCCAGTACTACTGTCGGTCCCAAGCCCGTATAAAGGAGGAGGGTTGAGCATGAGTTCGGAACTCCATCCTGTAGGAAAAAGTCTTGCTAAAAAACGCCAACCAGATTAAACAAATAAAGTCATTTAAACTCTGCCCTGGGAGGTGAAAGAATTATTACGCCCTATGGTGAAAGCCGAGATTCTTTGGATGTCACAAGGCCGATGCCCCTTCTAACCACCAGAGCAACAATTTTTAAAGGTACATGGAACGTCCGGACAATGTGGGAGACCTGAAACACAAGTCAAATAGCTGCAGAAATGAGAAAATACAGCTTGACGCAGAAGAAAATGTTCCACGCACTAAAGGAGTTGCTCTGATGCTGTTCGAAGAAGCACCAAATGCACTTATAGAATGGGAATCTCACGGATCCACTATCATCAAAGCATCATTCGAAACAAAAATCGAGGGAATCACAATGAATGTCATCCAAAGTTTTGCACCCACCAATGATAGCAACAACAATAAAGATAAATCTTATGAGAGGCTACAATCAAACACAGCGAAACACCCAAGAAAGGATCACACCATTCTGATGGGAGATCTAAACGCCAAAGTCGGAATAGACAACACCGGATATGAAGATATCATGGGACGACATGGACGAGAATGGTGAGAGATCTGCAAATATATGTGCATTAAACATATTGGTTAAAGGCGGCACAATATTCCCACACAAAGCTAGATGGATCTCACCGGACTACACCACGGAGAACTAGATAGATTATATCTGCATCGGCAAGAAATTCATAAGGTCAGTGGGAGACGTGAGAACCAGGAGAGGAACTGGCATAGCTTCAGATCACCATCTATCTGGTGATTGCCAAGATGAAACTTGAGCTAACGAAGCAATGGACAACTGGACAAACAGCATTACAAAGGTTCAATACAGTCTTCCTTCGACATACTGACAAATTCAACGAATTCAATATAGATCTCAACAACAGGTTCAACGCCTTACAAGATCCACTCGAAGAAGAGAATGATACTATGAAAGACAAGTGGAAAGGGATCAAAGATGCACTAACTTCAATGTGTCAGGAGGTTCTGGGCCGCAAGAAGCATCATCATAAGGAATGAATTTCTATGGAAACCCTGGACAAGGTTCAAGAAAGGAAGAACAGAAAGACAGCAATTAACAACAGCCGAACACGAGCAGAGAAAGTCAAGGCACAAGCTGAGTACACAGAAGCAAACAAGCAAGTGAAGAAGAGTATTAAATCCTACAAGCAGAAACACGTGGAAGAACTAGCAACGACCGCGGGAAAGGCTGCAAGAGAAGGAAATATGAAACAGCTTTATGATACAACGAAGAAACTATCAGGGAAATACAGTGAACCAAAGAGATCGGTCAAGGACAAAGAAGGCAGGCCAATCACTAAAATTCAAGAACAGAGGAACAGTTGAGTAGAATACTTTGAGGAACTCTTGAATAGACCAGCTCCATTGAATCCAGCGGACATCGAAACAACACACAGACCTTTCTATAGATGTCACTCCACCAACGACCGAAGAAATCAGGATGGCCATCAGACAAATTAAGAGCAGGAAAGCAGCAGGACCTGACAATATACCATCTGAAGCACCGAAGTAACTACAAACATGCTTCACCTTCTATTCAAAAAGATTTGGGAGGAGCAACAAGTGCTGACGAACTGGAAAGAAAGACACCTCATCAAGATACAAAAGAAAGGAAATCTGAGCAAATGTGGGAACTACGGAGGTATCAAACTACTGTCAGTACCAAGGAAGATCCTCAAAAGAGTGTTGCTGAATCGGATGAAAGACACAGTAGACGCCCAACTTCGAGGTCAACAAGCTGGATTCCGTAAGGATCGGTCGTGCACAGACTAAATTGCGACACTACGGATCATCGTCAAACAATCAGTTGAGTGGAACTCGTCACTATACATCAAATCCATTGATTATGATAAGGCGTTTGACAGTGTCGATAGGAGAACGTTATGGAAACTACTTCGACACTATGGAGTTCCTGAGAAGATTGTCAACATTATCCGGAACTCATACGACGGACTACAGTGCAAAGTCGTGCATAGATGACAGCTGACAGATGCATTCCAAGTAAGGACCAGAGTCAAACAAGGCTGTCTACTCTCTCCCTTCCTCTTTCTTCTGATGGTTGACTAGATTATGAAAACCTCGACATCTAAGGGAAAATACGAAATACAATGGACAGCTCAGAACCAATTAGACGATTCGGACATCGCAGATGACCTAACCCTCGTATCCAATACACATGAACAAATGCAGATAAAGACAGCCAGTGTAGTAGCAGTCTCTGCATCAGTAGACCTCAACATATACAAGGAGAAAACCAAGGTCCTCAAATTCAAAACGGAGAACAGAAGTCCAATCACTCTTGATGGCGAAACTCTGGAAGATGTAGAATCCTTCACATACCTGGGAAGCATCATCTATGAACAAGGAGGTTCAGATGCAGACGTAAAGGCAAGGATTGGCAAAGCAAGGGCCGCATTTCTACAATTGAAGAACATCTGGAACTCAAAACAACTGTCTGTCAACCAATATCAAAGTCACAATCTTCAATACGAACGTCAAAACAGTCAGTTCTACTGTATGGAGCTGAAACTTGGAGAACTACAACAACCACCATCAAGAAGGTACAAGGATTTTTAAATGGTTGTCTATGCAAGATACTCAACATCCATTGGCCGGATACCATCAGCAACAGCCTTCTGTGAGAGAGAACAAATCAGCTTCCAGCTGAAGAAGAAATTAGGAAAAGACGATGGAAATGGATAGGACATACATCACGCAAATCATCAAACTGCATCACGAGGGAAGCCCTAACTTGGAATCCTGAAGGGAAGCGGACAAGGGGAAGGCCTAAGAACACATTACGTCGGGAAATAGAAGCAGATATGAAAAGAATGAATAGCAACAATTGTAGTGTTTCTTGACATCACGGCTGTCTTCGATTCGTTGGACAAGACTGTTCTCTGGGATTGTCTATTGAATAAGGGTGTGTCTGAGAAGTTTATTAACATCCTAAAGGCCCTATATACAAACACCTCAAGCAGAGTGAAGGCATACAACCACCTTTCTCCACTGTTCCATTCGAGTAGTGGGGTTAGACACGGTTGCCCAATCTCACCATTCCTCTTCAACTTTGCCATCGATGACATTCTGGAAACAGCTCTGATGGATGTAAGTAATAGTGGTGTGGATCTGTTACCTGGAGAAACACTTCTCGACCTTGAGTATGCGGATCATATTATGTTACTGTGAGATAATGCCAAAGCCATGCAATCCACACTTAATCAGTTGGCAATCAGTGTCCGTAGGTATGGTATGTGCTTTGCACCTTCGAAGTGCAAAGTACTTCTACAAGACTAGCAGGATTCTAATCCCGTACTCACCCTGGATGGTGAGCAGATAGAAGTAGTCGAAAAGTTCGTGTATCTAGGTAGCTGCATAAGTGCTGGTGATGGCGTGAGTGATGAGATCAATACACGTATAGTGAAAGCCAGAGCGGCTTATGCCAATCTGGGCCACCTTTGGCGCCTTCGTGATGTTAGTCTGGCTGTAAAAGGTCGGATCTACAACGCGTCGGTGTGAGAGCAGTTTCGCTCTATGCTTGTGAAACCTGGTCTCTCCGAGTTGAGGACGTTAGACGACTCTCTGTGTTTGATCATCGTTGTCTCCGAAGGATTGCTGACATCCAGTGGCAACACCATGTTAGTAATGCAGAAGTTCGGCATCGTGTGTTCGGGAGCATAGACGGGAATTCGGTTGGTGTCACCATCTTGAAACACCGACTTCGGTGACTTGGACATGTTTTCCGAATGTCGTCCCAGAGAGTTCCACGTCGTGCATTATTTGCCGACTCCGGGACTGGTTGGAAAGAGCGGAGAGGTGGTCAGTGTATGACAAGGTGTCGTGGTATAAAAGAAAGCTGCAAAGGACTGGCTTGTGTTGGTCCTTCACGACTCCCTGGCTGGGGTCTGAGAGATGGTGCAACACAGTGGCTAGAGACGTTACCACATATGGCTCATAATAGAAGCCAGTGGCGATCCTGCTGTAACCTTCTTTTACTTTCTTCATAAAAAGTGGTTGTGTCTCCCTTAACTGAAAGACTTCTTTTGATTGTACCTCTCCGTTCCCTCATTATTACTATTATTATTACTACACTACCTTACACCAACCTCTTCGTTATTGTTCTTTTTTTCACACTCCCTACTTTTTTTTCTTTCTCTTCGAATTCTCATTGTTTTGTGTGGCGCATATATATTTGGTGCCCTCTTGCACCAATATTTATGTGTTCAAATAAATAAATAACATCCTATTATAGCTGATAGTGCTTGACCTTCGATCTTATTTCAGACTTGCTTTATAAATACAATCCTGTGAGATCATATCATATTATGGGCCATGATCTGTCAAACAGTATACTTTTCATGTATCAAACTGTAAAAACCCGCCCACCACGAATAGTGCGTAAAACAGCTATTCATAAAATTCCGAACATGAAAAACGATTTGAATCCCATCCCCAATAATATCATCTCCTGAATCGGAAACCACAGACTCACATGTAAGTGGTTTCTTTATTAACGCAATTTACTTGCTAGGCATATTTTAGTAAATTAATGTCAGATTATTTAATTCTAACTGATTCCATGACAATATTTCATCTATTTTACAGTACAAAGATCAGTGATTGAGACCCAACCTGATGAAACTCGGTAACCAAGTGGTTTCATATGATCGGATTTGAGCCATACATTGTATGGGAGCTACTAACACAACTCGGATAGATAGAGAAGAGTTG